GTCCTTTCTACTATTGATTTGACCATACCATCAAGAAGGTTTTCCTAATGTCCATCCAAAATTTGCCATCTTGTAATTTAAACATAAATTAGAAGGGTTCCTGCCCTAAACAAGCACCAGAAAACAAGCTTCTGTCCTACTGTCATAAGGAGTTGTTTTCCATCCTACAAAACAAGGCACAGGTTGCCTGCCCTTGGCACACCTATTTCAGAGACAGAAGCCCTAGAAGCCCTAGATCACACATCTTAAAATTGCTGAGATTGAGAAACACTGCCCTAGATGGTTTTCTTGACCTGATACTTTTGATGCACCAGGCTGTCTGCTTTGCTAAGTTTAAGCAAAGGATTCTGGACATTTAATCCCAAACTGAATTTAGCAGAATTTCTACAATAAGTTGGGAAACCATAAAAAAAAACCACCTAGCTAGGTAACTCCAACAGCTCATAGTCCACAAAAACCACAGGGCTTTCATGCTAATACTGTTTGATGTCTCTCCATCAGCAGTTTTGAAAGATAGATCCAGAAAGATCTCTTTTGCAGAAAGAACCTGCCCTTGTGGAATGGGTGCTGCTGAGTCATTGGCTCACGTCCTCCTCTCTTGTGACTTCTCTGGAGGCTCTAATAATATCTTCTAAACATCAATTCTGGGCTGTTCTGGGTGACCAAAAGGCATTTGCATGTCGGCTCCTATCAGACAAAGACTCTAGAACAACATTATCATAGCTAAATTCATCACTATGAGCCACAGACGCAGCTACTGTAGAACACCTCACTCAGCTGATCAGGCAGGAATATGTAATATGGTTGCTGCATGGTTCATTCTACAATTATCTAACCCCATGCATATGTTGATGTCTTGCAACTAATATTGGTCAGTGACCACAAGAAAAGGCGATTGATTTTGTTCTTAACCAGAGGCAGTGTGATCAATCAGGAATTCATCCATCAGCCTTCAAGGGATCTTGACTCTCCTTGAGACTGGCACACGGGTGTTCTCAGAGTATGGTTGGAAGTCAAGACGGCAGCCATGATGGTCTGATCAAAAGTCTGCAAGGCGACACAGATAAAAACCAAGTGGAGCTTTGACTGCACTGTCATGGCTGCCATCTTGACCTTTTCAACCAGACCTTGCAGACACCCCCTAATCTGACAAGACATTCAGGCAACTGGCATGGGGGCAGAGAAGGGCAATGAGGACGATCCAAGGCTGGAAACAAAGAGGCTATTCCCACCAGTTATTTAAATCAGCCCAATCCAGCCATCGTTCGGCCGATGTGGAGCGTGTCTGGATTAGTGACACAGCACCACAATGGTGGCTGGAGGATCCCACAAATAGCCACCGAATCCTGCAAGAAAAAATGAAAGGAAATGGATATGCTTAGAGAAGACTGAAGGGGAGGGCGATGATGCCACTTTTTAAATATCTTGGGGGTGGGGGGACTTGTAGAAGGATGCCTGACCTACTGTCTATTGTCCCCAAATGCAGGACATAGATTTAAGCTATAGAAGGCAAATTCTGACTGAAAGTTCAGAAAAAAGTCCAAGGAACAGTTCAGCAGTAGAAAAAGGCCAAGCGAGAGGGTGGTCTCCTGTTCACTGGGCATCTTCGGGCCGAATTTTGACAGTAATCTCTCAGGGATGCTCAAATTTGGATTCCTGCACTGAGAAGAGGGTTGGGCTAGATGTCCCCAAGAGCCCCCTCCCATTATATATGATGTTATGAAAAATACAACATGCTTTTTGATACCAAGTTTAGTTTGCCATTTAGCTTTCAGAAAGCAGCAATTCAAGGAATCAAATAGAGGGACTTTGGGAGTGATTTACACACATGTGTGAACCTGGCTGACTGCTGCAACCACTGAGGCTTCTCAATTACTTTTTTGTCTGGGTGTGGTTGCTGGTGCCTCTCAAAAGCCATGTTCTAATGCCAGTTGCAAAATTTCAGTCTGTAAAGAGAATCAAAAGGTGGGGGAGGGAAAAAAAAATCTGGCATATAAAGATACAGATAATTCGCCCACAAGTTTAAACTGCCAGAAACTTGTCAAATTAGAACAGGCAAATCTCACATAGAGCATCTAATCGGCCTATCACAGAAATCTTTAATTTCCGTCCTCTGTTGAAATGCAGAAGAGGAGTTGAAGATGATTCATCGCACAAGCTGGTCTTGTATTTATAATTATGCTAAGTGCCTTAACTCCAGATGAAGACGGTAGGTAGATGGCCCTCGAAAGATGGGCCAGTCAAGTCTTCCCTGTTGCTCAGCCTCTGAAAAGCATCCTGGGCCTTAGCTGGATCCTGTATGGCCACCCTTGGTTGAGTTCACACAACATGCTAATTCCTATACTTGAGAATGTCCACCTCCCTACTCCACTTCCAAAGTTAGGCATGGCCAGGAGAGAAGAAAGGGGCAGTAACATCTGCACTCTGGAAGTGAAATGAATTGAGAGAGAGGGAGAGGGAGAGGGAGAGGGAGAGGGAGAGGGGGAAGGAAGGAAGGAAGGAAGGAAGGAAGGAAGGAAGGAAGGAAGGAAGGAAGGAAGGAAGGAAGGAAGGAAG